AAAGGGGGGGAAAAAAAAAAAAAAAAAAAAAAAAAAAAAAAAAAAAGGGATGAGTGAAGAAAAAATATCCTTGAGAATACATCCTTACAATCAAAGAAGCATTGACCTTTTCTTTTTTAAGATTTTACATCAGTTTATTCATGATTCACAGTATAAATCAAAATTGCATCCAGATTTTGTTCTAACGTAGCCATTAGTAAACAAGGAAACGGAGAAGTACAAAGCCACATTCCTTTGTAAACGCACTTAAATCATCCGATGTAGAACACACACACTCACAAACAACAAACACTTTTTTCCAATTACCTGCAAACGCTTGCTTTAAACCAGAGCCAGCAGCACTAATGCAGAGAGATAATAAAATAGCTATAAAAACAGCCAGGCATAAAAGAAACCTGTTCATAAATGGCTAAAAGATCCATGTGACAGACCCAGAAGTTTAAACTTTTTTTTTTTTCCTGGTAAATCTCAAAACTTAAGAAAAATAGAGGGGGAAAAACTGCAAAAGGAAAAAAAAAACCACCACCAACCACAACAGATAAAAGAGTATTTGACCACAGAAATTAAAATATTTTTTAAAACCTGTAAATTTCAAGATTGCCTTCTCACACAAAATAACTGATGTTATTTGTTCCTCCGGCCTCTCAATATTGCCTCCAGTATGCAAATGCTAATCAATCCTTTCTCGTAGCTGAAAGAGCTCTAATCATAAGGCAATTACCTTCATTTCTCCACAGCACCAAACATGGCTAATATTTATGATCATGTGAGTATAACAATCAATATAAAGAGTGATTACAGCTCAGACATAATTTCTTTCACTCGTGTACAATGCCTCCTGAAAAAGAAAGGTTTTGTGAAGAAAACCTGGTGCAGAACACAAAACAACCTGGCATGTTAAAAATGCCAGTGGGATTAAAAAAATATGTTTTCTATGCATCTTCCAATGTGCAAACCCACAGAAGCAACATGCACACAGACAGAATCCTAAGGGAGTCTGAGCCTAGGCCTTAATAATCAAAAGACAATTTCCATCACGATCCTACAATGTTCAGATAACCACTGTGAAGAAGGCGAGATGTGATGAGTTATGAGGAAAAAGGGGAAAAAAAAAAAAAGAAAAAAAAAAGCTCCACATTATTTCATTAATATTCATTTGCCTAAAAGAAGGACACCCACTATACAGCTAAACACACTGCAGCTAAGCGAAGATTAAGAAAAGGAAATTGTCCCGCAAATCTTGGAGGCTGAACATGCTAATAATAAATACAGCATGCAAGGCTGTCAACAGTTAATGGTATTGCTCTCCTCAAGCACCCAGTTGCACACAGAAATACGGAGAACACCGGTTTTTGATGTGTTACACACCTACACATGCCTGGGATGTAGTTCTACTGAATCTTCAAGACGGCAACGAAAAAGGATATTTACCTTACCACTATCAGCAGGCCGGCTATCGGAAATCACAGTTAGTGGGGATAAAATTAACAAGCCAGCAAAGCAGCGAGCTGCTAGTCTCTTCATCAGCTGATCAGGAAAAAAAAGAGAGCTGGGGAAAGGCTATGTTTTCATATACAAGTAATTTTATTTTACTGAAAATTTAATACTGAAAGGATTGTGGATACTCAAATCTGCTGTTTCATTCTACCTACTACAAGGCCCGAAGCCTTCCTCCTTCAGCCTGTTTTAATATTGACAACTACTTATCATATTTTTTTTTTCTCCTCTTATTATTCCAGGCAGCAGAATTAGAGATTTTTAGCTCAGGCGGTCTCTGATTCTTACTCGCGTTTTAACAATTAACCCAATAAGAAAACAAATTAATATCCAAATTTACTTTCAAAAATTGAAAACAAGGTATGCTTTTTTTGGCATTTTAAACCTTATTTTAGTGCTTCTGAATAAAACAGGCTGCATGGTTTTGGAGCAGTCTAAGCTGATTTTTTTTTTTAAATAAAAGAATTTCTTTTTCATTAAAAATGCATGTCAGTAACAGCAATGTGCATGTTCTCAAGTTCACATATTTTAATAAAATGTTATTCTACTCTTTAAAGAAAATCCCGAACAACTGTGATACTCTACTTTCAGTTTCATGCTGTAAAAATTTTTCATTGTTTTTCTTTTCAGTGGGATAAATGAAGAGGGGGAAGTTGTGAAAGGATATTTCTACTCTCACCCCCCCCCCAACTTTACAAAAAAGGGAACAAAGCATAAGCTTGTGATATTTGGACTTTTAAATCTCTAAATCTAAGTAGTTAAAAAGCGAAAACAAATTAAACTGCAAAAAGAACTAGTAAAACAATTTTTATTACAATTGCTAATACATGCAGATTCTTATTAAATTTAGGTTTTGGAATCACATGGAAACACACAAAGTACTGACCATTATTCCCCTTAAATTAAGGTTTTATGCAGGAATGCAGAGAGCTACAAAACATCCTCCCCTCCTCCCCAAAGACCCCAAACACATCCATATGCAGTGCTTGATGTTCAGGGATTTCTAAGGGTCTTGTTCTAATGGAAATCAATTCACTAAATATTTCCCGGTGCTTTTCGCACTTCAAGAGTGGAGTAAGACTACTCCTGCATGTCAGTAAAATTATCCATGGACATTTAAAACTGTTCTTTAATTTTAAAAAATTACTTATTCAACTGGCTCAACTGACTCAACTCGGTGCTAGGGTGGG